AGGCCGGTTTGTTTACCTGCCCCGTCCGCAGGTTCGGCCGATCGCACCTCCCACTGGCTGCGGTTCACTGCTCCAGGCCAATGGAAGCTGCTGGAAGCGGCGCGGGCCGAGGGATATACTGGCCTGCCAGCGGCTTTCCCTACACAAGCAGCATCACAAGTTTGGGAAACACTGTACTACAATATCAGGTCTATAGTTAGCATTGGTTTTTGTAAGGAAGTGTAGTCCCAGATTTGTACATAAGGGTAATGTTCTGAGGAACAGAAAATGCTGTGAAGCTTTTCTATTCCTTTACACACACACAAATCCAGCTGAGTTCAAACACCTAAAATATGAGCTTTTCTAAACTGAGTTATGAGTTAGAAGGATTGCAGAATGTAGGCAAATAAATAATTTAGGCTTGATAATACAATAATTAATCTTTGCTGACTGGTGAGAAGATGAATTTAATGCAATGGGCTTCGTATGAACTGTGCACTATCAGCAGAAACTACACTAAAACTAATACATATTTCACTTAAAATTTGATTCTGGATATGAAACATCCTCTGTAGCAGGATGACACTTTTTGCAGTACATAAAGTCTCACACATAATAATAATCATAATTAATACTTTGAACTTCCAGAGTGCCTTTCATCCCATGACCTCAAAGTTCTTTAACGACATTAATAAATTAAGGCTCACAACACCCCTTTGAGATAGACTAAGGATATAAAGCAGTGGTGGGCAACCTGCAGTCCGTAGGCCAAACGCGGCCCATCAAGGTAATCCGCTGGCGGGCCGCCAGACAGTTTGTTTACATTTGCACAGCCACCCGCAGCTCCCAGTGGCCATGGTTTGCCATTCCTGGCCAATGGGAGCTGCAGGAAGCAGCGGCCAGCATGTCCTTGGGAATTTAGTTGGGCAGATCGCAATTTCCTGGGCCCAGATCTTTGCCTCTGCTGCAACCCAAAAAAAACCTATACAAGGGAGCTCTGAGAAAGAAAATTCCCACAAGAATCCCCACATGTAGTTCCGCCTTTATAATTCCATTTGAAGTCATGGTTTGCCCCCTCACAGATGGGCCAAGGAGCTCACCTCCAAATTTCTTGAGCTTAAGCTCCACAAGGCTGGAGGGGAACAATATACATGTACCTTGTATCCAACCCATCCACTGCTGCCTGCAGCTTGCCTAGCCTAATCATCTTTGGCACAAATTAATTTAAAAATCAGTCAAATACCTTGGGTCCTCGTTGCCTGGTGGATTTTCCCATCAGTTTTTCATCATCTAGTTCACATTGCTCCAGAAGATCCAAAATGTCTTCCTCCTGAAAACGTGAATATGTCTAGGATTAATGCAAAGCGATGTCATTAAAAATGACAATTCAAAACAGATCCCACCTTTCTTCCAAAGGTGAAGTGGCAGCTTGGATTGAGATTTAAAAGTGGTTTTCTGATCAAATAATCACTAAACACCTGTGTGTGCACGAACGTGTATTCACATGCTTCCAAAGACTATTTTGATAAAATAATAACATCTTGATATTAAATTCTTTCCTCTGATGTACGCCATACCAGTGGAAATCAACGACACCTGCAAGAATGCAAGCTGAATTTGACCCTTATAGTTTGTTAATAGCTATTTGTGCGAATGGTTGGACATAATCTTCTGTTAGACTGCTGGTTGATATGTTATTGAAAAGGTTATTTCCTCTAAGTTTGTAATAATTTCTCCAATTTGAACAATGACTTTTAAATCATGATAAATTGGCCATTTCAAATATATCCATTCTTCAAGTGGCTATCTCTAGGAATTTCCCGAGCTGGGGGATCCCTGAGGGCCATAGCTGGCTCTGTGACAGCTGTTGTCCCACCCAGCTATAGTGGGCATCTGAGCAGGCTGGGACCATTACTGGGGGAGAAAGAAGGCAATTATCAGTAGGCAGAGTGGTCTTTATGGGGGTTTATGCCAGGGTTTAGTTGGCCATGGGGCAGGCAGAGGATCAGGAAAATGGCTTAAAGCCACTTGTCCTATCTCCATCCTCGGTCTTATGTCCAGCAGTTCAGCCAGACTCAGGAATTTGGCCAACAAGCTGCATGAAGAACAACAATAAAACTACAGAAAAATTGTAAAGTGTTGTTATTAATGACACATGAGCAAAGATGGAGCAAAGATGATTCAAACCTGATTCAAAACTTCATGCCGGGTCATGGAATTCCAAGATACATAACTTTAAAGCCAATACTTCTGCACACTAGTACCTTCATTCTTTTCAAAGGGTTATTCAGCTCCCGCTGAAGTGAAGCTGCTCTCCCAGCAAGGAACGTCTGGAAAGCAATGGCTAACAAACTCTCATATTTTTCAAGTAACAGCTTATCATCAGGAGGGTAAATTCGCCTACAATTAGAAAAAATGAAATGGAGACAAGAGTAAAACAAAGTTGAGCTACTGACCACACAAGGAATACAACTAAAGTAACTAATTCACAAAACTCGTTATGTAGGAGATTTATTTAGTCTGTAATTATTATTAAATGCATATTGTGAATAAGACTCTCTCACCTAACTTTAGCTCAGTGGACATATACATGCTTTAGCCATCAACTGGCTGCTTTAAAAAAAAGAAAGAGAGAGAGAGAGACACACACACACAGACAGTGCAGGTTCTTCTACAGAAATATCATGACTGAATCTTGGAATACTCACTGAAATTTCAACTTCAGATGTGAATGAGGCATGAAACATTAACAAAATACTGTATTCAGAGGTATGAAATATTTTGTTTTGGAAACAAAGCAATACAAAAGGATTGAAAATCTTACTGATTAACTACTATGCTTTTATGGGCCTGCTATAAATTAAATCTTAGAGATGTACTGCATTACCCCAGTAACCCTTTCAACATAATGGACAGGAACATTCACTATTAGAAAAACATTATCTAACAAAGATGGAGATTGGCTCCGATTTTCCATTATAGCAGCTATGATCATTATTCTTTACAACTGTGGGTAGGGAGATTATGACAATGCAAAACTAGGACTGAGTGATTTATGCACATTTACAAAGAAACAATTGGCTTTGAAGAGAATCATCCCTAATCTACTTGTCAGGAAAAACTGAAGCATAGCCAGAGACTGTAAAACCTGGTGACTAATTTCTAACCTACATTAAGTGGGCAAATACATTATAATCAGTCAGCATCGTGTAACTGGTGTATTTTAGTGGGTCTCTAAGGGTAGGTCTACACTTGTAAACCCAGGCTCAGGTTCAGGTTTGAGCCCAAGCCCCCTTACTGTCCACACACAAGCCTTTCTGACTTGGGTAAGCAAGCACACAGGAGCAGGATGTGGGTCCAAGGCAGAGTCCCACTGTGACTCTGGTCCAAGCTCTGTCATTTTGAAGTGTGGATGCAGCGCAAGCCATAGACCCAAGTCAGAAGATTTGCATAGTACAGTGTGAATGCATTAGCATAGTTGAGAGATTCAATTCCAGCAACTGTAAGCCTGGGTTTACAATGCAGTGTGCATGCTCAAGCGTAGGCTTGGAAACACAAACTCCACTAGTGCAAGTCCCACAAATGGAGGTTTACAGTGCAGTATAAACATACACTAAGTCTTGTGAATTTTGTAAAAGGATCGCTCCCCTTTTGCCTGCTCACAATGTTTGGCTCCTTGAAAAACTACCTCTTGCAGTGACCTTCACTCAGATGGGGAAGAGTGGTCATGCTCTCACTAGACTTAATTAATATAATCCAGGCATCTGCCAGAGAAGATTGCTGGAGAGCAATCTGTAGCACTCCCTTATCTAGTGGTTGGACAAATGGTCTTCTTTCCCAGCTGTATGTGAAAAAACCTTTTGGTTTTCAGTTTTCATAGAATCGCATTAGTCTTGATTCACACATATTAGTTTAAAATGAACATAGTAGCTTTGGTTCAGATATACTCTTGTACAGTTTCCCTTTGCATGCTATGGTGAACATTCAGTGATCTCAGACCAGTGGAAAATTCTCCACTGGTCTAAAACAAATTAAAACTTAGCATAATTCATAACCATGCAGCAGCTAAACTTTGTGTGTGTGTTACAGACAAGGCTGTGTCAATGGAGAAATTAGGAGCAACCATAGAAGTTCCACAGAGAGCAAGGAAGAATTAGAGAGGGTCAGGGAGCCCTTAGTGGGGGCCAGAAGTGCATCAGAGAAGGCAAGGGAAATAGCTAGTAGAAACTTCCCCACTCTGTCACAAATGTTAACTTCATTTTTCTTGAAGGATCTCCAAAGCGTTAAGAGGACTGTTAGGGAGAGTGAATATAAGGTGTGAAGACTTATTTCATGAAAAAGGCACCCTGAGCCAGTATGAATCTGTTGGTAAATTTTCTCCCATTAACAACAATAACAACAAAAAAGCATTGAGACTATATTCTATTGCACAGATACTGGCATGCACAAAACCTCAGATAATTGATTTCTGGAAAATCACTTCTATAATAAATTTGAATTTCAAATCAATATCTTCCTCAGTAAAAATGATGGAGTTGGTCCTAAAATCAGTGAGAGTTATAGTTGCCTAATAGATGCTCTGTACTTCTCGGGATACTGCCTTATATTTATACATTGAGAAGATAGTGGGCCACATTCTGCTCTCAATTATACAGGTATTATATGACGCCAATAGTGTTACTGTGCATTTAGATCAGTGAAAATGAGTGAAGAATCTGGTCCAAAGTGCTTTCTATTTCAGTGCAAGACAAAGGCAGAAGAAAATATGCCTTTCTGACTAATATAAAGAGACCAATCGTTCACAAAACAATTACACTCAAAGGTCTAAAACACGTCTGTCAATTGCATTTATTTATTGTACTTTACACATATAAACAGACTATTAACTGTAAGGTCAAAGGAACAGTCTATTGTGATTGGAAATGCTCCTCTGCTTAAATATAAATAATTTACACATGTTCAGCTAATGAGAAGGCTCATTCAGCAATCTAGTCCCTCTGTTTCAGGTTTTGCTTTAAAGGGACAAATACTGGTCCAATTGAAGTCAGTGGGAGTTATGCAATTGAAGTGAACAGGACCAGGATTTAGCCCTAAGTACAGACCTGTTGGTCTCAGTGCAGAGCAGGCCAGAGCTCCTTGGTAGCAATCAATTTTTTTTAAAGGGGGGAAAAAAGTGGTGTTTCTGCTGATTTAAAAGAGGCCTAACGATAATTTCATTGGAGGGACAGGCATTATAATTCAATATGAGGAAAATATACTCCACTGCAAAGGGCCCACATGAAACCTATACACTCCTTAAGCCCCTCAAATTCAGCAAGGTACTTAAGCACATGCCTACCTTTAAACATGAGTAGTCCCACTGAAGTCAATGGGACTACTCATGTGCTTGGAGTTAGGCACATGCTTAAGTACCTTGCTGAATCGACACCTGAAGATATAGAAACTGACCCAAAACCTACTGAAGTCAATGGAAAGACTCCCATTCACAGAATCAGGTCTGAAGTCAGTGCAGACATACAAGTTTCTTGCGGTTCTCATTTAAAACATGAGATTTATTGTCATGCCATGCAACAATAGTAATGGATTGTTCATCTTTCCATATTGTAAGGGAGCTTTTTTTTAAATCTAGATTTTTTTCATTAACATTTTTAAACAATTATTTACTTGTATCTTAAAAGTACAGAGTCAGATCCACTTATACAGAGGTGGCATAATGCTCACATACGTACTCCCTCTGTCCTGGAGTTGATGTTAAAAACAGCCTTTATTCCTTAGGATGTTACTTTCAAATATAATATTTACCATAGATACTTACGATAGAATAAAATTGTTGCCTACTTAAATTTTGTCTTTTCAAGTATTTAATCAACACGGTGTGCTTTGTCTAAAACATAACAAAATCTAAGTACTGGGACCTTTGCTCCATTAAAATTGTTGTTTGTTATTTTCAAAGGAAAAATACCTAAAGACATACCATAGATAGGCCTCATCATTATCACCCCCTTTCTGCCTCCAATTTGCTAGCAATAGGAGTGTTGCCTGGCTGCAGGAACAGGCCCTTTATCTGCAGCCATGCTTCTCAGTGCACTCAAGATTTAAGTCCAAATCTTTCAAGTAATTATGCTGGTGCCTATAGACCATATAATTGATGCCTTATAAATGCCAGATGCAAACACAGACCTTGTATTAGAAGTCCTATTACCTGGGAAAAGACAGCATCTGGTGAACATCAATACTTAAAATAAATTCCTGTAAATAATTTTTCTGCAGAAAATCTATCATTGCCTCACAATACCTATTTCCATTATTCTTAAATAAATCATTCAATTCTGGACTCAAGCAAGAAGAGGGAGGGCACAGTTACCTGTAGTTCCCCATGTGTCTGTTTTCATGCTCTTCTTTGGAAATCTGTTTACGAACTTGCACAAGTCTTTCTTTCTAGAAATCAAGTAAGAAAGAATTAAAACTGATTGAGTACAAGCCTTGGGAGGGAAGGAGGAGTAGCTTTGTAAAATTCCTTTATACCAGTTCTTCTCTTCTCCTCTCTAGCGTGTGGCGCTGTTTTTCCCAGTCAGAGGATCCTGGTGACAGTCTTTTCACTGAGCCTTGACCATAAAGTCTCTTTTGAGCCTCAGCTTTTTGTTGGGCTAAGTTTCTCCTTTTATCACTTGTCCTAAAATAGAGATTACATTCAAATATGACTCAATTAATCCGGAAAGCAATAGCTTTTAATCAGGATTAGGAGATGACTGCATTACATTGTTATAAACATAGCTGAATTCTTAGTTTTTTATAATGAAATCTTTTGTACATATTTATCTGGCACAGTCACAGGATACGGTCCCAACATGCAATCAGACCTGCACAGGTGCAGAATCCCCAGTAATTTTAATGGGACTCCATGTAGGCAGACCTCTATAACTGTGCACAATCCCACTGAAATCAATGGGGTTCTGCACAGGCACAGGGGTCTGTCCTCACAGATCCAATTCCAGGACTAGGGTATAATGTATTAAACCTCTGTGTAGAGGTTGTCACTCCATACCCTCTTACAACACATGTGAACTGAGAGGTACTTTCACTGTAAAAGAAACCCCCTGTTTTTTCCTATCAAACACACTATGCTGTAGATCTTATAGAAAAGAGAAAAAATAAATACTGCTTAAGAATGAATTCTTATAATATCAATTGTTGTGGCTGTGATAACTCTATGCTTTTTAGTACAGTACTGTACTGATTTTGTGCTACCACCCAATGTGCAACCTTGACCTTAATTTACAGTAATTATTTTCCATTGGGTTTACAACTGAAAACTGCACCATTTCCTCCAGTTTACCCCCGCCTCTGTGTTCTGGTGTTAGTAGAAATGGATTGCAGTTGTGAATGCTAGTGCCATCAGATCAAACTACCAAAGTGACAGTGAACCCATGCCAGCACTTACCATCCACACTCTGAGACCTGAGTGAAAAATTATTAAAACAAGAATCAGGAATGGTAATCAATACCCTTTTTTTTTTTGTAATGCACACTAATGAGGAGTAAAGTTGAAGTTGAGTCATGTACACATAGTAAAACTGGTAAATAAGAAAACTTTGCCATTCACACAATTTAAGATTGGTAACAAATTTGCCATTCACACAATTTAAGACTGGTAACAAATTTGCCATACTGCACATATCCCATGATTTTCCCACATTCAATAGGAAAAAAGGGCAGTAAACGTCGCGCTCCTATAAAAAAAGTTAGGGTGAGGATTAAAATGCAAGTTTACCTTATATTGAGAAGCTTTAGTGCATTTAGTAGAACACCTTTTTTTACATCATAGTCTATTTTTTGGTCAGTTCCAAAGCTTGGGGCTCGATTAATCTGAAAAATTGAAATACAGAAAATACAAGAATGTTTAACTTCAGTGTATGAAATATACACACATTTTTCATAAAGACTTCTTTTAAAATCTACTGACATGAAAATAATTAGATTAATAAAATAAATGTTAGGAAGTTAATGTCATGAAAACTGAAAGAGAGAACATTTAAAACGAAAGTTATAATTATACAGGAATTAAAAGAAAAACCATGAAAAGTCATTAAAAACATGGTGGGAGAAGTTTAGCTACTTTCTTCGTGGAAGGTCTCCCATCCAAGGATTTACCTGGCTCAATCTTTCTTAGATAGTCTGATAGATTCGCCTCCTCTGGCAGCATGCGGGCCAAAGATTTTTTGTTGTTCAGTGCCCTGATAGTACAAACACTTACACACATGCTTAACTTTAAGCATGTGGGTAGTCCATGCTTAAAATCAATCATGTAAATAAACGTTGAAAGAAGTGGAGCATTTAATCAATGGGCCTCTGGGGGCAAGAACTCAAACCCAATTCTCATACATCATATTACAGAAAACTGTCACTCGACAGGGCAGATGCATTTTAAATAAGATTTTATGTATGTAAAATATTTAAAGTAAAACTACATTGATTAGATATGTTTGGATAAGTTAAAGGTAAACACCAGGCAGTTTTATTCATTTTTCCAGTAAGTTAACTTCCTGGCTTTTATGTACACCAGGGGTCGGCAACGTTCGGCACACGGCTCGCCAGGGTAAGCACCCTGGCGGGCCAGGCCAGTTTTATTTACCTGCTGATGCGGCAGGTTCGGCCGATCGCGCCCCCCACTGGCCATGGTTCGCCGTCCCGGGCCAATGGGGGCGGCGGGAAACGGTGCGGGCGAGCGATGTGCTGGCTGCGGCTT